TTCCCTGCCAGGCTGTGCCTGGACACAACCTGGCCAGCCCAGGGGGCCATTCCAAGTCCAGCCTGCTCCTCCCGTTCACCCTGCTGTGGAGCAGCCGAGGGCGTGAAGACACTCCGTGAGGGCACCCGCACATGTGCACATCTCATGCCCGTGTGCACAGGTGTGTATGCTCAGCCTGTGCGCAGGCAGGCTGACCATGTGTGCAGGCACATGTATACGCTCATACTTGTATGTGTATAAACAGGAACTCCCCGATCAACTGCCTTGTGCTCCAGGGCCCCTGCTGCCCACTTTGGCCTGGGTTGTAGCCCCCAACCCAGTCCTCACCAAGCAGGAGGCCAGGGAAGTGGGGTGATCTGTCTATGCCAGATGATGGCAGTGCTCCTGACACTTGGTGTGAGGGGTGCACAGGGTTGGGCATGCAGGCTTCCTGCCCTTGGTCTGGCTGAACTTCTTGTCCAGCCCCCATGTCCAGGCTCCCTAGTCCTACTGCCCTGCAGGGTCAGGTGAGGTGGCCTCATTCTACTGCCGACCACTGCCCAGTGGGAATGGGAGAAAAGGACAGGCGGACCCTGTGCCCCCCGAGAATCCTTCCAAGCCCAGAGTCCTGGCCCAGATCTGGAGATGGTCTCCAGGCCACTGCTTCAAGCCAGGTGTTCCCTACTGTCCTGCCCAGGGGTCCCAACTGCAAGGCCTGCTGGCCTTGGCCCACAACCTGCCCCCAGCCCCCGCCCTTCCTTCTCAGCACAGGGCAGGGCTCCCCAAGGTGCTGTGTCTGGGGTCAGAAGTGCATCTTGGAGCCGGGAGTGGGCCTGACCCAGACCGGGCACCTGGCCAGAGTCTGAGGAACCGAGAAAGGCACCTTCTCCCTCCCTTTCTCGTCAGAGGACTTGGCAGGTGCTCACCTGAGCCCAGCCTTTCCCTCTGTAGAAGGGGTCAGAGTGCCAGGGCTAGGTGTCCAGTAAGGCTGCAGGACACAGGGAGCTGCCCGGAAAGCCAGGGGTCCCCTGCCTCCTGCCAGGAGCCCCCTTCAGAATGTCACCCCTGGACAGAGGCGGGGAGGTGGCTCACCTGGCCCCTCAGGGGAGGGTCCTGGGTACATCCTGCCTGCGGCCTCTGCCCCCCTGCGTTGGCACTGACCCAGGGGCGGGGCCACTGCAGAAGACCTCCCACAGCCCCGCACAGGAGCCCCCTGCCATCTCTGTGGCCAGCCTGGGCTGCAGGAGTGGGGGCGGGGGAGGCCAGGCCCAGGGACCCCACCAAGGGCCTGGGCTGAGACTGGGAGAAGAGACCAAGGAAGGGAGAAAGGTGGAGGTGGGGGTAAGCGGAGGCAGAGAAAGATCCAGAAAAGTGGCTGATGTCACTAATTTCTCATGAAGACTGCCTTGACTGTTTTCACAGAGGCCCTGAGAGGTGGGGGACCTGCCCCAGCGGAACTGGCAAGCGGCTGAGGCGGGCCTTCCAGGTGCGGGGACAACAGGAGGCCTCCAGCACCCCAGCCAGCCCCGCCTCCCGGAGCCTCGGGAACATTTTCTCTCTGCCTCCTTCCTTCCTTCCTCTTCCGTCTGGCAGGCTGTGTGCCCATCCCTGTCCCCGGAACAGGCAGCCTGTGCCTTCCAG